GTAACACAATGCATCATCAACCTCTCATTCCTGACTCAGAATTCTCCCCAGAGAGAGGACAGATTAGTTTTCCATGACCATGCAATGGCATCTGTGAGGTCATTGTTTCAAGGTGCTCTTTGCATTCATACAGCTGCTGACACGGCAATTACCACCGCTGAGAACTTGCTTTTTTTGCAAGCAAGAAAAACCCACACTTCACTGGCGATCATCTAAAACAATCACTCCTAGTGTTGTTATCCGGTAGTTTCCGTTCAGGAATTCTGCAACTTATGATCTGCTTGTAATTGCAATTGCGGTGAGCAGCTGTCATTCAAATCATGAGCACATACAGAGCAGGGAAAGTGCAAGAAGCTTTACTTGTCAACGTTTTGCTCTTTCACCAAGCCAGTGCCTTAAGCTTTCTGGTTTAAAATGCACTAAACCGGCTTAACGGTAAAACAGCTAAACTCCTTTTTACACTTTCATTAAACTGTTATGAGCCCCTAATCTGCTACACAAGTGAACAGCCTCTAAACTTGAAGCACACCCATTTGAAGCATATACTTTGGAAAAAAGGTCTCATTTTTATATTTTATAGTATTTATTGCTTTCTATCTTTCTTTTCTATATGCATATTTATGAATGCTACTGACTGTAGTTCAAGAACTCTGTAAATTAATGTATTTTTCTGCACAAAAAAGTTAATAAATGTAAAACAAATAAATAAAGGCCTAAGTGTTTGTTAAAATATCTTTGAAATATTGTTGAACTGCATTGCATGCTGAATGTACAAACAAGCATTTATGGAAAGCTAAGGTAAATTGTTTATATAATTTAACATTTTATTCAGATAGATACATACAGTTGAAGTCAGAATTATTAGCCCCCTTTGTGTTTTCTTTTCTTTTTTAAATATTTCCTAAATAATGTTTAACAGAGCAGGGAAATTTTCACAGTATGTCTGATAATATTTTTTCTTCTAGAAAAAGTCTTATTTGTTTGATTTCGGCTAAAATAAAAGCAGTTATTTTTTAACACCATTTTGAGGACAATATTATTAGCCCCTTTAAAGTTCTTTTTTTTTTCGATAGTCTACAGAAAAAAAACATTGTTATACAATAACTTGCCCGATTACCCTAACCTACCTAGTTAACCTAAATAACCTAGGTAACCCTTTATTTGTCACTTTAAGCTGTATAGAAGTGTCTTGAAAAATATCTAGTAAAATATTATGTACAGTCATCATGGAAAAAATAAAATAAATCAGTTATTAGAAATGAGTTATTAATACTATTTTGTTTAGAAATGTGTTGAAAAAAAAGTTCTCCGTTAAGCAGAAACTGGAGATAAAGTAAACAAGGGGGCTTATCATTCAGGAGGGCTAATAATTCTGACTTCAACTTTATATGTGATGTACTTAAATGTATCTGTTATAATGACATTGCAATTTGGCACATTTAACACATACTTTACACTACACCTTAATTAATAAATGTATGTTATTAAGAGATTTTCATTTTATCATATTTACAAGCTTTTCAACACTATATACTATTTTGCATTACAGTCCTTTTTGCACTGTTTTGCATCTGCACAACTCTGGTTTGCACTCCTTGCCATGTGCCCTTAAGTGTAATTGGATTGTTTACAAATTGATATTTTTACTTATATTTTTATGTGTAATTGAATTTATTTATCGTCTACTTTTTGTATAAATATTATATGTTAGGCACGTAGGCTCTGAGAGTAACGCAATTTTGATTCTCTGTATGTCCTGCACATGTGGTTGAATTGACAATAAAGCTGACTTTGACAATAGTGAACAACATATTACAGTAACAACTTATATTTTCAAGAAGCTTTTAAATCACACTATAAAAAGGCTGATTTTTTACAGTTAATTTGTCTGGTTTTCCAGTACAACTGTCTTAAGAGCCTTAAATCAAGACACATTAACGTTTGAGAAGCAAATTGACACAAGAAGAGTGTCAAACTGATCAACATGAAGCAGGTTTATGAATAAAATAAAAACAAACATCTGCCAGTGTGAGTGTGCTCAGAAATACTTTACTTATACAAGTACTTTTCCTTCAATTTGCCCACTGATAGATATTGCCAATGGAGATTCAGGGTAATCATATCTTGATTTAAGAATGTTAAACTGTTTACATTGAAATAAAAAACTTTGAGGGAGATATTCAACTTTTGGAGAGTATGCAAATGCTGAATCTATGATCCGTTTTAAGTAGGGCTGGGTGATATGGCAAAAATGCAATCGCCATATTATTTTCTATACTGAACGATAACGATATACATTTCGTTGTTAATGCTTCCAGATTAAAAAGAATATCCCAACAATGACTGAAGCCACAAAAATTGGAGTCTACATTAAATGGCATAACATTTTCGGACGATAGTTTTGGTGCATCTCTAATGTCAACACTTTTAGATTCCTATTGTTGGACACTTCTGCTGTGTGATTGGCTCTTAGATCAATATAGAGTAAAAAAAAGTTCAGAGTTTATCCTTAGTGACATACATTTTTATCACGGTTCAATATAATATCAGCCTATCCATAGTTTTAAGACCTTTTATATTTCAGATGGGCAAATTAAGACTTTATTAAAATTGCAGAAGTCCTGACTGTATAACTTTGACACACAACTTAGTAGCTTGAAATTAGCATGTATTTGTTTACATATTTTTTTTAAACAAAAGTAAAAACTAAATATTTTATCATAAGACTAGTGTGATGACAAAAGCGTTCCTCATTATACAGAAATGTTTTAATTTGCTGTTTATTGAAGTGTTTTTAATTAGCTAAATCAAAGTGGACCTTTAAAATTCTAAACAGATCGAGATAAAGTTAATTATATATACTAGTATATTCGTTCAGTGACAACTTGTGACAGGCTCCCTATACTGTTTACCATGGTACTTTGAATATTCTGCCTAAAATCACATGTAAATATGACTTGAAAACAACATTAGCACTATGTATTTTTTTACTATGAACAGTGTTGTACTTTGATAGTCGTTGGCTGCTAATATGATTTCTCCATTTAGAATTTGCAAATAATATTTTTGTAAAATTATATATTCATAGTGGAAATTATAGACATTGAGAGAGGTATTCAATTTTTGGCATGTATGCAACGTCAAGTCATAAATACTTTTTTTTTTACATGCTTCATACATGATAAACTTTATTTTTAATTTCAAATTATGACTTTTTTAAAAACAATCTTGGCTGTATAGCTTTGACAAAGCAGACTGAGACTATTGCATAATAAAGATTAAATAAAAGCATACAAATGCCAAGCTATTTAATATTATGACATTAGCAGGTATTTGTTTACATTCATTTCTTTTAACAAAAGTAGAAGCAAAATATTTGATCAAGAATGATACTGTATGACCACAAGAGTGTGGATAATTATACTGACATTTTACTAAAACTGTTGTTTATTTTAGCATTTTTGATTAGCAAAATAATTACTGGGTGCACCTTTTAAAGATCTAAACAGATTGAGGTAAAGTTGGTTTTATATTCACACATTCGTTCAGTAACAACTTGTGACAGGCTCCCTATATTGTTTACCATGGTACTTTGAATATTCAGTCTAAAATCACATGCAAGTATGACTTAAAAACAAAATTAGCACTATGTATTTGACTATGAACAGTGTTGTAATTTGATAGTCTAAGGCTGCTATATATGATTTCACCATTTAGCATTTGCAAATAATATTTTCGTGAAATTAGATTTTTACACTGGAAATTAAAAACATTGAGGGAGATATTCAATTTTGGCATGTATGAAACTTTAGAATCTATGCTTTGTTTTAAATGTCAAATGATGACTTTTTAAAAAGAAATCTTGACTTTAGCTTTGAGCAGGCTTGGAGGGTTGCACAAAAAAAGATTAAATAAAAGCATACAAATGTCAAGCTATTTAAAATCATGAAATTAGCATGTATCTGTTTGCATTCATATATTTAACAAAAGTAGAAACTAAATATGTTAACATAAGAATGGTGTTATCACAAGAGTGTGGATGATTATACTGACGTTTTTTTCTAAAACTGCTGTTTATTTAAGCATTTTTGATTAGCAAAATAATTACTGAGTGCACCTTTTAAAGATCTAAACAGATTGAGACAAAGTTGGTTTTATATACACACATCCGTTCAGTGACAACTTGTGACAGGCTCCCTATATTGTTTACCATAATACTTTGAATATTAAGTCTATAATCACATTTAAACATGACTTCAAGACAACATTAGCACCATGTATTTGACTATGAACAGTGTTGTAGTTAGTCATTGGTTGCTAATATGATTTCACCATTTAGAATTTGCAATTAATATTTTTTTAATTAAACTAAGGAGAGTGCGGATGTGTGAATATAAAACCAACTTTACTCCAATTCTAAACAGCAGCACCCACAGACAATCATATTTAATTCATAAAACAATACTAATGACGAGCTCAAGTACCTGTCAAAGCCCTAGTGCTGTCATTGCCACTTCGGGCTCGCAAAATGCCCTATTCTGCATTCAAAGTTTTAGACAACTTGGAGAAACACAAGTCACAGATAAACAGACACGACTGTTTTGTTTAGATTTAAAGGCGTTTCATGCACAGGACTGTAGATGCCTGTAATGCTGCTCCAGCTATGCAATCTCATCTCTCTGTATGTCAACAAGCACGGAGGGAGTCTGATTCCTTTTGTTTATATTTAGCCAGTGCGCGCGAGCGGCTCAGCGGAACATTCATCAAATCAATCACGACCCCACTCCACAACATTTGCCTTTTGCTGTCCAAATGCAACACATCAGGCCTGAATCAAGACATGCACGTATTGTATTTGGCCAGTGCAAGCCCAAAACCACCAAGCTCACATCTTCAACACAAACACCGCGAATGCACGCATATGCACGCACGCGTTCCGTCGTTTGCACGCTTGCTTTCTGGCCTTAAAATGTCAAATGTCCAAGTAGTGTTTTCCTTACCTGTTCGTCGAATCTGTTAATGATGGCCTGGACCCATTCCACGGGCTTGTGCGCCGCCATGCTCAGGCGGATGCGCGCGCCGCTATGTCTCCTATCAATCACTTTTGCGATCCCGATTCCTGCTCCCGAATCGTCCCGGGTGCTCCAAATACCCCCTAAACCGCTCCGCAAAATAATCAAGGAGGAGAACGGAGAAGGAGGTGGAGGGAGGAGGGGGGTTTGGTTTAGTTTTTCACTTCAAGCATACTCCACCACGCCGCCATGACACACCACCGGAAGTTTGAATCCTCCTCACTCTCTCTCTCCCCTCGCTCTCTCTGGCTTCAATCTTAGCGTTGCGCATGCGCGGAAATGCTACTAAAGAGCTGGAGCATTATTGCAAGAGGAATAGACAATGTGAGGATATATGTCATCTATCTATCAATCTATCAATCTATCTATCTATCTATCTATCTATCTATCTATCTATCTATCTATCTATCTATCTATCTATCTATCTATCTATCTATCTATCTATCTATCTATCAATCTGTCTATCTGTCTATCTGTCTGTCTGTCTGTCTGTCTGCCTGCCTGCCTGCCTGCCTATACAAGCACTGTAAAATAAAAGTTCATTGTCAGAAAAAAATCAGATTAGCCTACTTTTAGTTTAACTTAATAAATAAAGCTTTCGTATCATGTTAAATTATTTAGTTTACTTGTGTAAATGAAAGTCAAAGCGAACTGTCAGAAAATAATAATAATACTGAACAACTGAAACTTTTATTAGGTTGAGTTGCAGTCATTAACAGTTACAGTATTTCTCAATTGCAATTGGTACATTTCTCAGATCAGAATTGAACTTTGCAATACAGTAAGTGCATTTGTCAAAGCAACACGTACAAATAGCAAAACACGGTTACCTGCAAAAGCCAGACTCTTGCTCAAAAGTCTTAGTTTATCTCTCAAAACTATTTCTGTATCAATAAACAAGTCAGTGCCGAAAGATTTTCCTTAATTTAATTGAATGAATACAGATTTAATTATATTTCTAAAAGATAAGAAGTGAGCTTCAGTTCACAGACCTGGGTAATACACTCTATTATATGTCATTGTGTATAGATAAGACAGTCAAATTACTTGTCATGTTGTCAATATAACAGTGTACTGGTGTAAACTAGGGCGATATTTTATTGGCTGTTTGTACTGTAATTTGTTGACAGATCATGTCATTGGGATACAGAAAGGAAAAGACAACACTGCATAGCACAAAGAAAAAACAAAAGAAAAGTATAAACGGGAACATAGGACAACCTCCTTTTAGACCTTCATTAGAAAAAGTCAAGATTCACCTGGGAGAAATTTACTAATTGTAGACAAATTTAGAAAAACGTATCAGCCATGAACAAATGATTAAATATTGTGGGGGTGAGACTATTCAACAGAGACCAAAATACATTTTGATCAACATGACATAAGCTATTCATAATGTAGGAAACTGCAGAGAATTGTACATAACCATTTGCATGGATGTACAAAAGCATCTGAAACTCGTTCAGAGTAATGATAAACCATCTCGTGAGATCAGGCTGGAGAAACTGTTTTACTGATGTGCACAAGTGACAAAATTATGTGAAGATTGAACAGGGAGTTTTGAGAATTTCAGTTTTGATCTGAGAAATGTACCAAAGTGACTGAGAAAAACTGTAAGTAGAGCTCTACTGACACCTTAAGGTCATAATAAAAAGACTACAACAGATATTATGAGTTAGTCCACTCATAATCACCAGAGGGCGTTATGACCCTATAATATCAAGGTTTTATGAAATGTTAACAGTAGGTTACCCTTTCGTGCCCCTCTGATTCATTCATAAAATATTTTTTTCATCCATCATGGTTTTCTGTTTTAACATCCATAAATGTTCCTCAATCCAAATGTATTATTAGCTAATAATTTTAATAGGAACTTGCTTATCGTTGTTTATAGATTCCCCATGAAAGATGTGGAGTGTCACAGTGTAAAGTCAAACTCGTTTTAGTGTTTTTGCTTAACTTGATGCCAAGCAACATTTCTCTTCCCACTCAACAATATTAGAGAAACTGATATTTACTGACAGGTAATGAAGTTTCTGTAATGGATTTTTTACCAGTTTCTTGATATCCAATTTTGACATTAAAACTTCCAAATTACACCATATTGTCTTCAGCTAATGCTTAATTTGGCAAGCTGATGCACACAAAAATTGGACACATACAAACAGGCCCAGAGTTTTGTGTTTAAAATATATTTTCTGTAATGGATTTTCATAGTTTTCTTACATTTTACAGTAATATAAATGTAGGTCAGACTGATTAAATGCAGAGTATAGTTTAAAGAAATTAAGTTATTATTTTAAATGGGGGCAGCACAATAGCCTCACAGCACGAAGGTCACTGGTTTGAGCCTCAGCGGGGTCAGTTGGAAATTCTGTGTGGAATTTGCTTGTTCTCCCTGTGTTCGTGTGGGTTTCCTCCTCGTGCTCGGGTTTCCCCAGTCCAAAGACATGCACTATAGGTGAATTGAATGTGCTAAATTGGCAGTAGTGTATGTGAGTGTGTGCAAGTGTGTATGGGTGTTTCCCAGTATTGGGTTGCAGTTGGGAAGGACATCCGCTATGTAAAACATATGCTGGATAAGTTGAAAGTTCATTCCGCTGTGGCAACCCCTGAACAATAAAATGACTTAGCCAAAAAGAAAATGACTGAATTTTTATTTAGTTTTATTGTGCCGAACTCTACACTTGATTTTGATTGGTCAGTGCTAACATAATAACAATATACAAACTGATTAAACAAGCTCACCCTGGTGACTGCTTTATTCTTGCTAGAATGTATTTTTTCTTCCACCTTGATTTAAATGTAGAACGATTTATTCAGAGGAGTGTGAAAGAGGACGCATCAAATGAAATCATTTTTATTGTTTATATTAGATACAAATACATATTGTATTATCAACAGTTTGACATGTTGATTTTTCTAGATTCACAAGGAGAATCTATATAATATTATCATATGACATAAACTTGTTTGTGGAAGTTTTAAACATGCACTTCCTGCAATCCTGGATCCTTATTTCACATGCACAAAAATCACCTCCACATTTCCACGGACTTCAAAGACGTCGATGTCCTCCAGTTCAGTGAAGCGGTGCTTGTAAATGTGTGTTTGCTTGCCATTCACAAACACATCATAATGATCACTGTGACAGGAGATTTTGACCTGAATCACATACAAAAACATGACAATAAGATGTGCTGTTTGTAATCATTTCACACAAAAATTTCATTTAAAATCATCTCCCAAAATGCTAAATGGTGTTCAATAAATGAATGTTAATTTTAACTAAGCCTATCATAGTATCAGGCAGGCAAAGATTTGTACCAAAAATCTGTTTGATTTGAACTCTGTTGGAATAGAAAAGTTATAGGTGCTCTAAGGATGTGGGATCTACCTGAAAAAACTGGCCTCGGATAAAAGGCACAGGTCCATGTTTTTCTTCTGCCCCCCATTTCCCATTCTCCCAGGTGTTGCAGACTACAGCATTCTGATCAAAACGGCATTGGTAGTGAAATGCAATCCCAAATCTGTGGCGCAGATTAAACTCCATCCTAATGAAGATAGAAACATTAAAGTGGATATCTTGTCAGAAGTTATTATGACTTATTAAAAAAAAATGTTTTTGAACTATGCATGTTTAAATAACTTTTAACATCCACATTATAGAAAGAATATATTTCATCTCACCTTTTTGAGTCAGCATTAGGAACTCCATGAATAACAATGTCTTTGCCAGACTTCAGTCCATCACTGATCAGGGTTGTGTATGGAACGGTCTGAATGCAGTGAAAGGATTTTGACAAAATAGTTTTAAGTACAAAAACATAAAGTTCAAAAATATGAATGGCAGCTCAACTGCTTTACATTATAATATGCTAAGTGGTAGTTTGGTATTTTGTTCTTACCGCAGGCTTCTGGTAAGCAATGAAATCCAGCTCCACTGTTTTGTGCACTGAGATGGTGTCCACCAGAGTGAAGGGAATACGGTGTTTATAGTCCGCTAAATGTTTCCCGTTCACACTTACCTATAAAGAGACTTTACATAATAAGTAACACTGTAAAAATCAATAATTGTTCGTTATCATTCAAATGGATATTTTCGATGAATCGTTCTGTGTAAGTTAACTTTTGTTGGCTAAATTTTGTTTTGTTGCATTTCATTTTGATATTTTGTATTTATTCTTTCTTTTCCTTAATTATTTCCCAAAGTTTGCACAATAATTGAAATGAACAGCTAATTCTGAGTAACAGTCTGTCATTGAGCAAAAGATTATATGCAAAATTATTTATTTAGTAGTCAAAATCGGTCAGATAATTCATAACTCTTTGCTAAATTGGTAATTGCTAAATTGGTAAATGACCACAGAAATGATTTCTCATATTCCTAACAACTACTCATATACCTTGTATGCCTCCTTGGTAACATGGAACTCAAGAGTAAACGTTTGGCCTTTGATGAGGGGACAGGCAGACTTTTCTTCTAGCCCCCAGCTACCTTTCTCAAAAGTGTTGAACACAATATATGCAGGTCCATCATTAAAACATGGTTTAAAGTGCAGAGCGATATCAGTCCCGCACTCAGTGGCATGCTGGAGATTCACACCAAATCTGCAGAACACAGAACAGGGTCATATTTCTTTAACAATAAATCATAGAGACAAAATAAATTTGTCCTTTGAGAAATAAAAATGTTACCCACTCATTAGCAGTTGGTAAAACATGTCCAATTATGATAAGAGTCTTCCCTTCCTGCAGGCCTCCCAGTAGTGGACCAGAGAACGGGATGCTCTTTGTTGAAGATACACATAGAATAAGATTGTTAATGCATTTCTGATTTGGTAAAATGACCTTAAATGTGTATAAAGACATGCATGCACGCGTTTATAGAAAGATTTTAAAAAGTTTTGAAGTTAAGAGAATAAAAAAGTAATTTCTACTACTAAGTAACTTCAACTGCACCACATTTAAACACACCTTTGTTGCCCAAAGTGCTCCACAGTTATTTTAAATATACATAAAAAAAAAAAATCAAAATGTAAAATAAATCATTAAAAAACAATGCCATAAATGAGCCAGCCAACGGATGTCAGATAGGGAAGTTGCTCGAGGACTTTCCTTTTAAAAAGCTCATTAAAAATTTTTGTTTTCAACTGAGATGTAAAAACTTCAAAAGGTGGAGCATGCAAAATACATGGCACCCATCCTGCAAACAATCTTGAGCGAATCAGGTAATGCTTGTTAAACTTTCCCTAGTGTATATGGGTGAATGAGTGAGTATGGATGTTTCCCATACACACTCATTCACACACAAGGGCATCCGCTGAGTAAACATATGCTGGATAAGTTGGCGGTTCATTCTGCTGTGGCGACCCCGGATTAATAAAGGGACTAAGCCGGAAAAAAAATGTACTAATATAATATACTATAATATAATATAAGATAATATAATACAATATAATGTTAATTATACTTGATATTATAAAACATACACTAATGTTTGAGTTAAACTGTTATTATTTCTAACAATTAATTAAATATTAATTACTATCAACTCATTTAATAATAAAAATGTTGGTTAAGAAAAGGCATTTGTTGACAGTCTGCCATTCTAGTCTTCAGGATCTTCTGCAACTCTTCAGTTGAACAGTCAAGACTTTACTGCTGATAAAGCATCTTGTTGAGGGGTTTATATACAGTAGCAGTTATAAAGCCTGCCCAGAGGTTATATATTACATATAGTTATATAGATTTATCTGGAAATTACCGTTTTATCTTATCTAGATACGTAAAACTCATATTCTTATTGATCCTTTATCTAATAATGTTTTGCTGTGGCCCTTTTGCTTCTCACTTGTCAGATTATCAGCCAGTACTGTATATTTTATGTTTCAGTATAACTCCAATTTTAATATTAAAATGAAACAAATGGCAATGAATACAGAACCTATAGTAATAAAAATGATATTGTATTTATGTTGGGCGTTGGACTAACAACCCATCTCATAAAAACTAGATGTTACGAAACACCAATACAGTGCGGCTAAATATCAACTTCGATATAAATGGCCCTGGCAGTGAGTAAGTAAGTAAGCAATGTTGGACTTTTCCTAGTCCTTGCAGGTTAAAACATCAGTCAGAGGCTTTAAATAAGTTTAATCAATTTAATTAATTAGATGAACAAAGCATTACAGAGCTCCGGGTGTCAGAAAACAGCAACACAGGCTGTGTCTGTGTCAGCTAGGCACACCCAGCCATACCCTCTTCCCCCCATATTTATTGTCATCTATCATCCAGAATTATTAGCCCCCCTTAGATTTTTTTTATTATTTTTATTTTTTGCATTTCCCAAATGATGTTTAACAGAGCAAGGAAATGTTCACAGTATGTCTGATAATATTAGTCTTCTGGAGAAAGTCTTATTTGTTTTATTTCGGCTAGAATAAAAGCAGTTTTAATTTATTAGAAAACGATTTTAAGGTCAAAATTATTAGCCCCTTTAAGCTATATATTTTCAATAGTCTGAACAAACCATCGTTATTCAATAACTTGCCTAATTAACCTAACCTGCCAAGTTAACCTAATTAACCTAGTTAAGCCTTTAAATGTCACTTTAAGCTGTATAGAAGTGTCTTGAAAATTATCTAGTCAGGTATTATTTACAGTCATCATGGTAAAGATAAAATAAAACAATTATTAGAAATAAGTAAATAAAACTATTATATTCAGAAATGTGTTGAAAAAAATATTCTTTCCCTTCCACAGAAATTGGGGGAAAAAAGTAAACAAGCGGGGTTACAATTCAGGGGGGCTAATAATTCTGACTTCAACTGTTTATCAAAATCATATTCCAGATCATAATTTACTCTACAATTTCTTCTAATTCATGTGCAATTTTTATACCCAAATATGTAAATCTGTTCACTATATTGAAACTTGCCACACAATTATTGGGTTGCGTTCTGTCAGTTTTATTTAGATATAGAATAGAACTTTTGCCATTATTTATTTTTCATTTTCCCAAATGTATTGATAAGCTATAATAAAGCAGGCACTGGTAGACAGTTGGCTTGCAATAAAGTGAAAATGTTTTGAATATTCCAATAATCAATAAAAGATGACTATAATTTGAAAATGTAACATTGATATTTCATAATCAATTAAAAGTGAAATCAATTGTCATCAACAGCATTCCAATTAATAAAAGAAACTTATAATCCTCAAGTAAAACCAAATAACTATTAGAGAGAATTGAAATGAAGCAGACAACATTAAAGTCTAGAGTAATTAAATTAATCAAAGAGCCGAATTGAACTAAGACTAAAAATAATTTAATAAAAGGCAGACGTTGAGGAGTTGAAGTAGAGGTGAGTTCGACAGATTGCTGGACAGAATTCAATGCCTCATGAATTGATGGTTAATGACTGGAAATGTTATTAAGGACTCTGGTGAGCTGATTGAAGAAACCCAAGTTTTTAAAAAAATCTTTTTGTCTTTTCTCTGGAAAAGTCAGGACAACAGTCTTACGAGTTCTAGAGAACATAATTTTAGTAATTTACCTGCGAGTTTCATTGGACTTTGGACACATAACTGAACAATAACTGGATAAGAGTTCAGTATAGATAACATACACCCTCAAGAGATGTGGAAAAACTCTATTAAGACTTTTTGGTTCTGGCAATATTCGCAAAATTAGTTTTTGGTAACAAAATTTAGTTGTCCCAATGAAATCTGAATAAATTGTCTTGTTTCAGCTCATTTTAAATAATTAGTTTGAACAAGCAAAAAATCTGTATTTTTCTGAGTGTTTGATTTAAAGGCTGCATGATCAGGAGAATGCTCACTTAACATCTAAATACAGAGAAATAAGCTCAAGTTTTTTGTCACTGAAAACCGTCCAGATCTTAAATTTCCAAAAGAGTTTATAATTTCTTCATGATTAATACTTAATGCTGCACCGATGACAGTCATTGTAAAACAAAAATAAAAACACATACAAAATCAAGAGAAACCTGTTCAACATTTAAAAAAAAACTCCCTACACAGTAATCAGTAAAGCTCTTTTAAAAACCTAAGATTTTTCTGTGGCTGATGTTGCTGCTGAGGTTATCTGCTTTTCTGTATATCCTCTTTGGGGCTCTGCAGTAACAACTATATGACCCTGGACAACAAAACTCATCTTCTGTTGTGGGTGCGCTTTTGGCAGTAGCCAACAATACTGTATTGATCAAATTTATCCAATATATAAGAATACTACAACAGAAAATATTTTGTACATTTTCAACTGTAAATATATCTTCAGTTTATTATGAAAATATTATGAGTTAATATAATGGAGGGAAGTATGAAGAGAAAATATTCAGTGCTGGTTCTTGCTTCTCTGCCAAAACAAAAAATAAGGAAGAAAGAATTTGCTCACAGAGTTGATGAATTAGAGCAGCATGATGGCTCAGCGGTTAGCACTGTCGCCTCACAACAACAAAGTTGCTGGTTCCAGTCCCGGCTAGACTAGTTGAAATTTCTATGTGGAGTTTGCATGTTTCCCCTGTGTTCACGTGGGTTTTCTCTGGGTGCTCCGGTTTCCCCCACAGTCCAAAGACGTGGTATAAGTGAATTGGGTAAATAGTGTACGAGTAAATGTGAGTGAAGAGCATACACTGCGTAAATACATAGTTAGCGGTTCATTCCACTGTGGAAACCCCTGATAAATAAGGGACTAAGCCGAAGGAAAATTAATGAGTGAATAAATTGATGATATAGCTAAGGGTATAGGTGAGATTCAGGAGTTCATAACAAAACTAACCTAAGCCAGCTTCTGTGATTTCTGAAGCGGGTAGCGAAGACAGGCTTTTCGTCTGAGTAAAGACTGCTAATACACTTGTCCACCTGTTGTTGGCTATTAAATCATTTCATTAGATAATTTACTCACAAACATGGTAAACGTAGCTCTGAGATCATAGATTTGATAGCAGGTCACTTTTGTTAAATTGGTCAAATGCTTTATCTCTAAAGATATCTCTTTCTATCTCTAAAGATGTTTAATGACTAAAATATTTTAATTTTATATAATATTTTTTATAATGTTTTGATATTTTAATTCAATATGTCTGTTTAATAAAACAGTTTTGTTTAAATGCACCAAAATATATGACCTTTATTCACTAAGAAATGGATAAAAAAATATTCATTTTCAATATGGGGTGTACTCATTTATGCTGACCACTGTATATACTAATTATACTAATGAATGTTTCTTCATATATCCTAATTAAGCATCGCAATGATACTCACCTGACCTTGGTTTTCACAGTAAAACGTTCAGTTTCAATAATCATACCCCCATTTCCATTAACAAAGCAATTAAATGTAATTGTTTAGCCTGGATTTAAAATGTAAAGGGCATCCCAGTGGCTCAGCACGATAGCCTCACAGCAAGAAAGTCACTGGTTTGAGTCCCGGCTGGGTCCGTTGGAATTTCTGTGTGGAGTTTGCATGTTCTTCCTGTGTTGGTGTGGGTTTCCTTCGGGTGCTCCGGTTTTCCCCCACAGTCCAAAGACATGCAGCAAAAGTGAATTGAATAAACCAAACTGGCCGTAGTGTATGAGTGTGAAGCAAAGTGAAAGGGCATTCTCTGTGTAAAATATATTCTGGATAAGTTTCATTCTGCTGTGGCTAAAGGAAAATTAATGTATGAAAAATAAAATAAAGTTATAATAATAACTGATAGTCAACAAATAAGTCTTCTTACATGGCCTGAAATTTTATTTAGTTTTTTTGTAAAGATCTTTGGATTACTTGATTCTAAATGGTTCATGTTAGTCCCTGATAACAACCATACAAACTGATATAACAAGCTCACCCATGCTGTATGCTTGCTAGATTTTATGTTTCTTCCCAGAAACCTTGCATTTGGTATAAGCTGACGAAATATAAACCTGTGCTTAAAAAAAGTCACACCACTACGTATGTAATTTTTTTGGTTTAATTTTATTGCATATAAGTATACAGAGAATATTAGAATATGATCAATAAACAATATGATTTTCAGTCTCAACATAATATGATTCAGGTAAAAAAAAATCCTCAAATATCATTATTTTTGATTTATGTGATTGTCCTGATGCAGAGCTCAGACATTATGGCTACAGAATCAGGCTCTAAAGACACTTTTGCACCTTTCCCTTAATTCCCCGATTCAAAAGAAACAAATATACATGGATAATAAAAGTCACATAGAACCAATCACACACTCAGGTTAAATTAGAAATGAAAGCGTACACATTATTTCACACAAATTTCAAACATTCTACTTCTACCTTGATTTAAATGCAGATAGATATATCCAGAGAAGTGTAAAAGAGTAGATGTATGAAGAAATAGATATTGTATTATCAACAGATATTGACCACCAGATTTTTCTTGAATCATATGAAATGAACTTTGTGGACGTTTTGAATGTGCACTTCATATCAACCTGGATCAGTTACACATGCACATAAAACAGCTCCAGCTGCCCATAAACTTCAAAGACGTCGATTTCCTCCAGTTTAGTGAAGCGGTGCTTGTATGTGTGTATTTGCTCGCCATTCACAAACACATCAAAATGATCTCTGTTGCAGGAGATTTTGACCTGTATACACAAAATAATTACAGTTAGATGTGGTTTTCGTCTTCATTTCCCAAACTCTTAAAAAAACAGTTACCCACAAAATGCTGAATAAATAACACTGACATCAATTAATAAATGTTAATTTGATCTCTTTCACCATATCAGGCAGATTTGTATGATAAATATATATTTGATTTGAAGTTTCTATTTGAATAAAAAAGTTATAGGCGCCCTGAGGATGTGTATACCTGAAAGAACTGGCCTGGGATAAAAGGCACAGCTCCATCTCTTTCTTCTGGCCCCCAACTCCCATTCTCATGGGTATTTCGCACAACAGCGTTCTCATCGAAACGGCATTGGTAGTGAAATGCACTCCCAAATCTGTGGCGCAGATTAAACTCTATCCTAATGAAGATAGAAACACAAGATTTTTATTATTATAAAAATATGTTTGAAAGGCAACTCTTGTGCTTCCCATGGATTCATTTATTTGTTCAAAATACAATAAAAACTGTAATATTGTGTACAAAAAATAGCCATTTTCTATTTGAATATATTTTAAAATAAAAATACATTCATTTTTTTCTGCATCACCATTCTGAAAACATTCTAATATAAAGATAACATCCAGTATTATTATACGTGTTGAACACATTTCTGTTTTAAAGCCTCAATTTTTTAGTTAAATCACATGATCTTTCTCTCATCTCAACTTACATAAAAATACATTTTAACAGACTTTTTTCCCAACATTATTATAGAAAAAGTATATTTATAATAACCTTATTTAATTAAATAATGTTACAGTCTTAAAATATTGGTAAGCTTTTCCATGTTTACAAGTAATGCACATTTGTATGTATTCTCTTGCGTATCAAAAATCAATCACTCACTCATTCACTCACTCTTTTCTTTATCAAGAGTCTCCACAGTGGAATAAACAATAACTTTGGCAAATGCCCTTCCCACCACACACCCAGCCCTGAGAGTACACTCATGCAATCCCCCAGTGCTGGGAAACATACACACGCTCTCATTCACACCCACATTCTAGAAAGAATACATTTCCTCTCACCTTTTTGAGTCAGCATTAGGAACTCCATGAATAACAATGTCTTTGCCAGACTTCATTCCATCACTGATCAGGGTTTTATATGGGACGGTCTGAATGCAGTGAAAGGATTTTTGAAAAATTAATCACAAATACAAAATATATAGTATGAATGGCCGGTCAATTGCATTAAATTGTGGTATACTAGTATGTTGTTCTTACCACAGGTTTCTGGTAAGCAATGAAATCCAGCTCCACCATTTGGTGCACTAAGATGGTGTCCACCAGAGTGAATGAAATACGGTGTTTATAGTCTGCTAAGTGTTGCCCATTCACACTTACCTATAAAGAGACATTACATAATAAGTAAAACAGAAAAATATTAATCATTGTTCTTCATCATTTGTATGGACATCCAACACTATTTCACGGCAATTCATAACTTTTTGATTTAGAGGCTAATTGGTATGAATTCGTATGATCTCATTTGTACAATTTAGTATGATTTGCTGATCCCCCAATGGTAGTTGAGTTTAGGGGTTGGGTTGGGTGCCATGCCCCCTTTTTAAAATGATACAGTTTCATCTGACTGCAGTACAAATTAGTCAATAAACTGACAAAGCATAAAATACTTATGTTTCCTCGGGATGTCAGGCTTGGATATCATTGTTTGATCAATGATATACAGTTGAAGTCAGAATTATTAGCCCCCTGAATTATTTGCCCCCCTGTTTATTTTTTCCTCTAATTTCTGTTTAAGAGAGAAGATTTTTTTCAACACGTTTATAAACAAAATAATAACTCATTTCTAATAACTGATTTATTTTATCTTTGCCATGATGACAGTAAATATTATTTGACTAGATATTTTTTAAGACACTTCTATACAGCTTAAAGTGACATTTAAAGGCTTAACTAGATTAATTAGGTTAACTAGGTTAGGGTAACTAGGCAATTAAGTTATAGTGTAATGATAATGTATAATATTGTATAATGTTTGTTCTGTAGACTATCGAACAAAAATGTAGCTTAAGGGACTAATAATTTTGACCTTAAAATTATTTTTAAATATAATAACTGTTTTTTTTCAAGAAAAAAAATAAAACAAATAAGGCTTTCTCCAGAAGAAAAAATATTATCAGACATACTGTGAAAATTTCATGCTTTGTTAAACGTCATATGGGAAATATTTAAAAAGAAGAAAAAAATTCAAGGGGTAATTGTTTTGGTCATGATAATGAAGTTAACTGTTTTGCTGGTAAACTTATTTTATTTTATTCATTCCTTTTTTTTAAAAAATAAGTTCAGATCTTTTAACAATTAATTTCCTGTTCACAGCAGATTTAAAGTTCTTACCACCCTGATCTCATTAGGAAATGTAACTACTTTATATTTTGACATTTTAGCTAATTCGTACAAATTCAAACTGAAAATGTATGATTTAAAAAAAGAGGCGTGCACCAAACCACACCCCTAAACTCAAGCATCATTGGGGGATGAGCAAATTGTTTTAAAATGAATGAATGAGATCATACAGATTCAAATGAATTAGTCACTAAATCAAAAAGTTACAGATTTGCATGATATATTATCAAGTTTGCACAATAACTGACATGGACAGCTGATTCTGAGTGAATTGTCACAATCTTTACAATTTTCAAAGTCTTTTATTAAGTGAAACATTACATGAAAAATTATTCAATCAGAAGTCAAACTCTGTCAGACAAATTGCTAAATTTGAAAAATACCACAGAAATGATTCCTCTTATTCTTAACTACTTCTTGTAAAGTCAGAATACCTTGTATGCCTCCTTGGTAACATGGATCTCAAGGGTGAACGGTTGGCCTTTCACAAAAGGACAGGTAGACTTTTCTTCTGGCCCCCAGTTACCTTTCTCAAAGGTGTTGAACACAATATGTGTAGGTCCATCATCAAAATGTGGTTTAAAGTGCAGAGCGATATCAGTCCCGCACCCAGTAGCATGCTGGAGGTCCACAGTAAATCTGCAGAACACAGAACAGGGTCATATTTCTTTGACAATAAGTCAAACAACTAAAATAAAATAAGGTTGTCTTTTCAGAGAAATGTTTCTCACTTGTCAGCATTAGGCAAAACCCGTCCAATTATGATAAGAGTCTTCCCTTCCTGCAGGCCTCCTAGTAGTGGACCAATGAATGGGATGCTCTTTGTTGAAGATAAGCATGGAATAAGAAAATTAATTCATTTCTGATTAGATAGGACAACTCTAAATGTCTGCACACACACAAATGCATGCATAGTATGTTCAGTATGTGTGTATAGATTTTAAAAAAAGCGTTTTTGAAGTTGCATAAATGAAACAGTCATTTCTTGCCAAATTCAAACAATTACTTATTTGTACAGTGCATATAAACACAAGCACATTAAGCACTTTTTTTTTTTTTTAAAGAAGGCATGGCTAAAAAACGCCACCCCTAACCATACCCCTCATTGAGGGGATGAGCACATCATATTAAACTGTATGAATGAGATTACATAAATGAATACGATTTAGCCATTAAATCAAAAGTTATGAATTGCTGTGAGATTGTATTGACTATACAATATTTTGACCTAGCTGCAAGCAATATTGTTGCTGACGGATCTAAACATATAGATAAGTGATGTAATCCAGTCATGGAGTAATAAAGATGTACAACCATTTCTAAATGGTTCTATGTTGTTAAAACTACAGACTTCAGGGTATCTGATGGTTAAAACTAAAGGTTGAGTCCTTTTTAAAGTCCTTTTTTTTTTTTTTTTTTTTTTACAGTTTTAACATGTATTTCTAAAAGAGTAATAAATGTGGCAAACTTCACTTTAATATTTGGTGGACCAAAAAAAATGATCTCTAATTTCCCTTAATCTAGCTGCGGTACATAGACTGTAAAACCCAACAGTCAACTTTATCAAATGAAATGAGTGTAGTGAACTCAAAATTGACTGAAAGTTAATTCTACTCATTTGAAAAGAGTTTTGAACTCTGTTGAAGGTATTGAGTTAATTAAATACCTCATTACTTCAACTTAAATAGAGTAAGTTCACAGTAATCATATATTAGTTTTTTTTAACTCAAATGCTTTGAACACTCAAAAAAAAAAAATTTTTACTTGTTCAAACTACTTTTAACTTTTAATAAAATGAGGTGAAACAACACAATTCTTAAGATTTCATTGGGACAACTTAATTTTTTTATGTTCAATCCACATAAATTAGTAAAAAGTGTTAAGTTAACCTAATCGATTTGTGTTTGGACAATATGAATGAATTGTGTGGAACCCTGCATTTTTTACAGTGTAGCAATCGGTTTCCTTAAACGGTTTGAGTTGCCTTAATTTATTAAGCTTATACAGTTGGTTTGGTTTGCGCTCAAATTCCTTTGTTTACTCAAATGGATTAAGTTCACAGTACTCATTAGGATTAGTTTTTTAACACAAATGGTTTGTTGAAATCGTTTTCCTCAAATCGTTTGAGATACCTTAACTTTTTGGGTTTTACAGTGTAGCTGGCACCAACTTTAGGTGGTAAATATATTTTAATCTTAAAACAAAATATATATTCTTATAATATATAATCTTAATTATACTTTATCTTATAAAATATACTGTATAGTCATTTTTATTTTAATTAAATTCAGATGCAAAAACTTCTAAATGTCATCTGAAATTTTCTTTTAAAATTAGTATTTTTGCAAGCTCCTGTGTGTACAGTATGTTCAGTCAATCGACTTTTATGGCAATGAATAGGTTCTTTGGATTGTCTTTAACGTGAAATAACTGAACAAAAAGTTCAGGAGGCTGAGAAAAATGCTCATTTTAGAAGAAAATTTCAGATGTCATTTAGAGGTTTTTGCATTGAACTCTTCAATTGTCATCATCAATATCTATACACCATAATATTATTCTCATTTAAGACCCAAATATTAATATAAAACTTTACTTACTGGGCTGAGAAAAGGATATTGCTGACAGTCTGCCATTCTGACAACTCTTGCTTTTCAGAGTCTTTAGCAAATCTTCAGTTGGATGTTCAAGACCTTACGGCTGATGAAGCAATATGTTGAGGAGCTTAATATAGCGTGATATAAAGCCTGCCCAGAAGTTATACGTAAGCTCTTCATGCATTTCAGAATAGATAGACCTACCTGGAAATGACCTAAAATGTTATCTGACAGTTTTTCTTTTTTGAGTAAAACAAATATCCTTTATCTATTCTGCTGTGGCCCTAGTGCTTATCATTGGTCAGATTATCATTTTTATTATTTATTATTGATTACACTCTCTTGTTTCGTTCGATGGGAGCTCCACAGGGTCAGTATACGCCAACATGGTTTCACCACGTAGGACATGTTCCTGGATTAACATCTATGTTGATCCTGGAACAACCTTCCAATCAGACAATCAGAATTAAGGGATACGTTTACAGTTTAAACTGAATTTAGGCTTACGGTTAGGTGAATCCACTTCTACATTATTGTTATCCAACTATTATTCCCATCTGATTTTAGAAATAATTTAGAGTTATGGTTTGGTTTAGGGGTAGGGAACAGGTGGATTACATATTCAAACAAAAATGATGTTCCAGGATCAACATAGATGTCAATCCAGGATTGCATTGTACTTGGCAAAATCATGACATGTGTCAGTATACATGGCCAGGTTGCCATAGCCAAACCTTTTGTCACTCATTGTCAAACATTGGTTTCAATGGTCCCAGCAGCGAAAATTTTGGGCTATGGACAATGTGAAACATGTATCTGCTCAGGGATGGGCAGTATTTAAGAGACAAGTATTTCAAATATGTATTTCAAAAACAAAATACCATTTTGTCAATTGTATTTTATGGGGCTTATGAAAATGGCTTAATATTTTGTATCAAAATACTTTAGTGTCCTGTATTTTTGTATTTTAAAATAGTATAAAATATTTTGTAAGAAGTCCATCATAAAATGACATCATAAAAATATTTGCCAAGGCTTGAAATCAGACTAGAAAATTGATTAATATTGAAGTTGATCAAATGCTTGCAGTATTGATGGAAATTAGGCAACACATATAAAGAAAAGGCATGGGTATTTTGGGAGCAAGTCAACAATCATTGAAAATAGTGTACTACACAATGCCAAAACCAGTCATTTATAATCATAGCAGCATTGTAGAATTCAGCATCAGCATCTTTAAGAAATTAAATGTAATATAATATCAGTCATCAAGAAAAAAAAAATATGTGAACAAAAATGTAAATAACCTCTTCATATATCATCCTTTTAAAATATAATTGTTGAGAGATGGTGTCAATTTTACTGGCCAGGCAATGGATGGAAACACAATGAAGAGATATAGTACTTCTGGTTATTCCAACACATTATCTGCATTACATGGTTTTTACAGTGATTAAAGAGAACATCTTTAAGAAAGGACTTACTGTATGAAATTTATACAAAATGTATACTAAAATGAAAGAAACAAAGGTCCTTGAATGCCTACTCATGTACAGGAGTAGAGATGAATGAGTTAGCAGAGAATCTGACTTAAAACTTGCTCAGAGAAACGCTGTTGCTATTAAACAGTCAGTTAAACGGTGAAGGGACTGATCCAAATAGACCGATTGAAGAAAGGTTTACGAAGAAATTTCATGCTTCCTTGTAAAAGTATTTCTCAGTATTTTCAAAAGCCAATATACTGTATTTTATTTTGATACATTTGTGGCTGCTGTATTTTGTAGTTTATTTTAATACACTTAAAATTTATGTATTTTGTTTTAAAAATTCATTTCAATGTATTTTTGCCCATCCCTGTATCTGATCTCTGATGAGTGCACCTTTGTATTTCCCACATCCGAGAGAGTTGTGAAGAGTGAAGCATGGGGGTGGATCAGTGATGGTTTGGGTGCAATATCTTTGTAATACATTTGGTTTATTTAAAAAAAAAGTCATTATTTCTGCAATCTTAAAGTGACTCTTCATTCGGCTAGTAAAGATTAAGGCTGGAGAATCAAGGATGATAATATGTAATGTTTAATATGTAGTTATACAGTCTGCATTTAAATTACACATATATAATTATGATTCTGGATAGACTACCTGGAAATTGCTGAAGCTAAAATGTAAACACAGTTAAAGACAGATAAAAGTACAGAGACAGTCAGACTATACTGTTAGCGTAACAGTGATGTGAAAGAACATGATAACAGTGTTTTTTAAAAGCTATATCTTGGATTTAGCTGGAAATGTCTGCAAGATAACACAAATCCGAACCCGGATAAGTGTTCAGTATAGATAACATATATTCTCCGGGAGAGAAGCTATGAAATACTCTTTACTCAATTTAATAAACTCTTTTTGGTTCTGGCTATCTGAGCAATACTTTTGGTTACCAAAAATTTTTTTTTAAATGTTGTGCATGATGCCACAGAGAAGGTTCCCTTTAACATCTGAGAGAACATTAATCAGTAAATATTAATAAAATGTATTTCTTTCATTAATTGTTTGGAACATTCAAAGGTCAATGAAAACTGCCCAAATCATATATATTCCATAAAGTTCATGCCAACCATAGGTACTGCCATTTACTGTAAAAGTGCTGTGCTAAATAAACTTCTTCACTAAGATCTTTAATATCCTCACCATTTTATCTTACATAAAGCAGCAGCTTTGTATATGGATAAATAGGAATTAAAAAAGCTTTAAAAGAGAAAATAGATATATTGATGTCATTTGTTGTTAAAGCGATCACTAACTTTATCAGTTCTTTCACGTAAAAAAACCCAAAAACGTTTTATTGAATTGTACTGTAAAAATACTCGGAAGTGTCTTAAAAAATATCTAGTAAAATATTACTGTCACAACTGTCATGACAAAGACCAAATAAATCAGTTCTTGGAGATAAGTTATAAAAACTATTGCATTTAGAAATCTGTTGGAAAAAAATCTGTTAAACAGATATTGGGAAAAAAAAAATAAACAGGGGGCTAATAATTCTGACTTCAACTGTACACACACACACACACACACACACACACACACACACACATATATATATATATATATATATATATATGCAGGGTTTCTGCAGATATCATAATGTCAAATATAAGACTTTTTAAGACCTTTTTAAGACCATTAAGTATTAAATTTAAGACCTATATCGCAATATCAAAAACACGCCTGCACAAAGAGAAAATGGAAAAAAAAATCACAAAATTAGTGTTAAAATAAATGTATTCAAATTAAACAGTACTAAATACAGGTTAGATGCACCATTGAACTACAGAAAAAAAAAAAAAAAAAACATCTTAAGGCTGATTTATACTTTCGCCTGGCACCACATCACGCACCTCACTAAACTGAAGAGGCTTTTCTACTTAACAAGTTCACCATTGAGATATTCTTTTAAATGACAGGGGGCGGTCAAAAGAAACAGACAGTAAAATCAGACGGATAAACAGAGAAGTGGAAAGTTTCTGGAAGTAGGTCATATCATTAATTTCATTTATTTATCAATTATTTTTTATTATTTTTATTATTTATAATAAAGATTTTTATAACCATTCAAGATTTTTTCAAATCTAATTTTATTTAATCTAAAAGATGCATCACTTGCTTTTGTTAATATCTCGGACAGTTCTACCTATTAAAGTTAAATATTAAATGGCAACAGAACTTGGGTTGTTCTACAATTATATATATTTTTATTACAGCAAGAATAAAAGCAAAAAAGTACACTTACTAAAAATACTGACTTTTTAATATATATTTTATTTTGCCCACTCAACAATTCACACATTACAGTCTGGCTAGATTCTGTCCTCTACTTATAAGCTAAAAATGCAATAATGGTCCAACATTACTGACCATTATCACCAATAAAGCCTTGAAATTGGGCATCAATATATTGTAAACTGATTTCATATATTTCTTTCCAGATACAGTTAACATGGTAATTAGGCAAGTTATTGTATAACGATGGTTTGTTCTGTAGACTATATTGCTTAAGGGGGCTAATAATATTGACATGAAATGTTTTTTTATTAATAACTGCTTTTATTCTAGCCCAAATAAAACAAGTAAGACCTTCTCCAGAAGTAAAAAATATTATCACATACTGTGAAAATTCCCTTGCTCGGTTAAACATCATTTAGGGAATATAAAAAAAGAACAAAAATTTCAAAGTGGGGGCTAATAATTCTGACTTCAACTGTATCAAAGACATAATTTGTTACTTAATTTTAGTTTGTAACTTGTAAATTGTTTTAAACTCAAAATTGTAATATAGGCCTAAACATCAGTGTAAAACATATGAATGGTGGAAAAACATTCATCCATTATTTTTTTTTTGTCGGCTTAGTCCCTTTATTAATCCGGGGTCGCCACAGCGGAATGAACCACCAACTTATCCAGCAAGTTTTTACGCAGCGGATGCCCTTCCAGCCGCAACCCATCTCTGAGAAACATCCACACACACACTCATACACTAGGGACAATTTAGCCTACCCAATTCAACTGTACCGCATGTCTTTGGACTGTGGGGGAAACCGGAGCACCTGGAGGAAACCCACGCGAAGGCAGGGAGAACATGCAAACTCCACACAGAAATGCCAACTGAGCCGAGGTTCGAACCAGCGACCTTCTTGCTGCGAGGCGACAGCACTACCTACTGTGCCACTTTTGCATGGTCTCTTTTTTTTAAACAAACTTATCCCTCAGGTTTTTCCAAACTTTTACAAAAACTTTCCTCCTTTCCTACTGCTGTTGCAATTTCTAGCCAAGAATTATTGGTCATCTGGTTCTCCCTATGATCACGCATGGACGGATCGTTAAGATGTCTGTACAGTTGTACCTGTTTTAGACAAAATCTCTTCAAAGTCTTTCATACTGAACTCAAATGAAACGCGGCGCCGCTTGAACTGAGTCTCCAAACATTTCATGGGCTCCGCCAGCCAAAATCATACACGCGCACCCAAAGCGAACCTCTGCAAACACAGCAATGATGTCACATTCGCTGCGTGCACTGAGGCTACTGCATGCTGGTCTTATTTGTAGTTGTAATACCGCAAATTA